ATGTTTTGTGCATGCTTATACGATGGATTTTATCATATCATATAATATACCTAGTGTTGTACCTACACGCCGTAGTATTGCATAGAGAAGAACATAATATATTATGTATATAGATATCTCATTGTATGATGATATGTTATATTATAATACCTATTGTGTTAAGATATCATATGTATAATATTATTATTATTATTATCAATAATAATAATGTATAAATWTATTATTATATATATARCAATGATGGTGACCTCGCTGCATATTATTATCATTGTATATACTACCTATTCGGTATAGATGTCACGGTATATAATAATGCGTGTATACTGCACTGTTTGTGTGTAGACGGAGAGACCAAAAAGCTTGGAGAGATGCTATCTTATTCCCTTTTCTTTTTTTTCGATACCCGCGCGCATTGTATATATATATATTATTATTATAATATTATACTCGATGGCGGCGTTGCGGTTCTCGTTGTCGCACGAAACCGACACCACGACGACGGCGTTTTAGATATTATGCTATAACATATATTGTTATTTGTTATCTCTATCCGTCACTCGCGCACTGCTGCTCGCCTTTGCAGCTATATATATATAAACAGGCATAAAGTAGATAGTGAGAATGAGAGAGAGAGAGAGAGAGAGAGAGAGAGAGAGAGAGAGAGAGAGAGAGATAGACTGTGCGCGAAAGTGATAGAGAGGTATATAGTTATACTATAATACGACTGCACCGCCGATGCACCGAATAGCGTTGACGTGTATTGACACATTTCCGGTTAAGTTGTCCCGTGTCAAAGGCGCCGCCCCCGCGGATAGTGCACATATTTACGTCTGCCCGAATAGGCTGTATACACACCTATGCTTATATAAGTGAATATATACACACGAAAATGTATATAAATAAATATATAAAATATATATATATAGGTATCTAGACCGCGCGAAACACGTATGCGCGTTATTGTTATTATCCACACGATGATCGGATACCGTGAAAACAAACTATCCACGGCGACGTTGTTCGTTTTATTGTATTCGAATAACATTCCTAGTTTATAATAACAATATAATATTATTACCTGCCGATAGGTATAAAACCGTATATAGGTATACCCATATTAGTGTGTAGAAAAAACACGCAATTGTATACCCCATATTATTATTATAATAATACTACCTATATATATAATATAATAGGCACTATATATAATGCAGTGTGGTGTGACATTTGCATACACTATAGGCCTACGCCCCCCTCCCCCTCCCCGGRATCAGCACAGGAAAAAAATGCGTTCGCACCAGTCGTTGAGCGGTTTTTAGACAAATGCGTTGTGGCGGTGTTATAATCATAGAGTGCATGTAAAGTATATATTATACAGAAATCCATTACGCCACGGCCGCCATTTTTTCTTAAGCGAGTAAAAAATAAAAATAAAAATCACGATTCACGACCCGCGTGTGATGATGCCGGCCAATGGAAAACGCGTCTATATATATATATAAGTTTATATACACGCGATAGTACACACACACACATATATATATAGCTTTGTTGCGTATTATTACCATTATATGTTGTATTATTATATTGTAAGATGTGTACGCTATATATGTATATAATATACGTAAGACACTGYCGCGTTAAGAATCCGTCGAAATGAAGGTGAAGGGGCGAGTAGAGGGCTGCTTCAATGCTGGATAGGTCGTGCATAGGTACTCAGACGTCGAATATATAAGTTTATAATAATAATATGTATAATGTATAATATATAAGTATATATAATAGTTCTCCGCGTATAATAATACATTTACTATTATACACTTATATATATAGGTATACCTATACCTTATATAGGTTTGTACCTATATAAGATCATATATACATTATATACTTTCATTAGATATATATAATATGTGATCTGTATATATAGTCAAAGCAGAGAGCATACCACATTATTATATACTACTTCAAGTATATATACCTACGTATATTTATACACTTGTATTAGTTGTATATAACATATGTGTATTCATTATTTMTTTGATATTATTTTTCTGGCTGTTTGTTTAACTCTGATGCAGAATAACAATATTGATCTTATACTTGATTTTTTAATACCTAATAATAGGTATTATATTGTATGTTATTATAACATTCTTGTATATTGGAACTTCATAACATATGATAATTTATTGTWGAACTCAATATCATATA